ACATGTCCTGTGCACACACAAGTTGTACTTATTTTACCAATTGTCCAGATCCAGTTCATCCGCAGAGATCTGAACTACATCCGCGCAAACGCAAACGCTGTCACGTATGGACAAGTGCGTAACCAGCGACCAGCCAGCGAAGAGGACTTGAAATGCGAAAACTCCCGGTCATCGGTTACGGCACGAAGCAACCTGGGCAAATTACCTTGCTAGTAAGTGCATGCAGACCGCACAAGGATGGAAAAATTAGCCTGTTTATAATGCTGATTACCGCAGTTAGAGTACCACTTAGGCCTGTTCATTAGGGCAACAGTTTTTGACGGAGCCTCCACCACGTGAATGCGACTAAACAGCCCTCACTCCGGGCCTATGCCGAAACGGTTCAAACATTCATTTCCCACTCAGTGAATTTAGTTGTGACTACCAAATCCGAATATGCCCCGGTTGAGGCTGACCGAGCTTGATGAAGTCGAGACAGAGAATGCAAGAGAGGAGATGGCTATTTGCGAGGAAGACCCAATCACACTTAGGCGATAGTCTAAAGACGATCAACTGGCATAATGGTAGTATATTACATTCATTTGTGCTCCCTTGTAATGACAAGAGGAAGAAGTTCGGAGATGTGAAAAATGGAGGGGAAGTGAGTTGTAAAAAGAAATCAACCAGAGTGATTTTACCACACACGCGTTCGCTATCACTTCACAATTATGAAATAACATTGGAAACATGAAATGTGGATGTGAAATCTGTTAAATAATCGACAGTTAGGGCATTTTGTGCAAAACGATTCTATGGGTATGGGGGCAGAGATATGTGCAATGAAAGACGACCAGCAGTTAGGCTGATACATGTAACAAATTCGGTAGTGGCGCAGAAGAACCAACGTAGTGCGGTTTGTTTGCTGACAAGCAACCCGATTGATCGTTAACGAAACAAGTGGTGAGTGTGAAATCCCCACGAATTCACCAACAGCGACCCCGCTATGTCTAAACTGTCACAAAGACGCACAAGCAGAATTGCAAACGCATGAGACGATGCGGGAATTTCCGCTTTGAGCTTTGCCCCACAAATTACTTGATCAAAGGCGAAGCTATCGTGTGATCGGGATGCCTGCTTCAACAGGCACTAAATGACACCACAGAAGTACCCTCAGCTAGACAATGACGAGATTTGAAATTGCTACAGCTTAATTGGCACTTAACTCTCTCATCACTGCAGCCTCATCCGCAGACGAAAAGAGGAGCAGGCCAAGAAGGCAGAGTTGGCAAGGAGCAAAAATGACCGCGAGGGGTCCGCACTAACACCACCCGGACACCGCAGAGTGTCTGAGGACGAACGAACGAAGACCCTGGCGGCACTGCACGAGGGTAAGTCGACGCCCTTTGACACATCCGCCACTGATGGAACAATGGTTTGCCCAAATTATTAGCAAGACATCATTTCACCGAAACCTTTGTGTGCGGTAGACCATAAATCGAAAAGCACTGTGTTCCAACGTTGTGAAAATGCTGGCCGGCATCTATCTGACAATTTAACAGTTGCTGCGACCATGGATGGTCGAATAAGTGGATATTTTACTAGATGCTGGTAGCATCGACTCCGTAATCGAGGGAGTTCCAATCACCACGTCACGTGACTCCCATACTAGGTGCCTAACTCATTAATCGTCACTGAAACGACCAAAGAGAGGCATAGTTTCTCCAACAATAGATAACTTCAAGCACTTTGCAACCACTCCCACCTCTTATCCAGTTCCCGACAAACACGACCGTTGACGCACCTCGCTAACACTCTCTTTGGACTTTTCAGCACACGCGAATGCCCTCAGTCAGCTTCAGGGACTCCCCATTCACATGAGTACAACTCGTGTTCGAAATCGTCAACAGGAACTCGAAAACCGCCTCTCCGAACTCGAGGAAGCCATCAACATCTTCAGGAAGCCCATTGTATACATCAAACTTGACTGAACTAAGCTACCCTGATTTATTTAGGAGTAAATCAATTGTGAAAATACAAATGTTCCAGCCTAATTCAGATCTACTTAGAGTTACACAAGGGTGGTCCTAATCAAACTTCACCACAATCTTCCCATTATTACCGCGTCCAGCCATCTTTCGGAGTGCCTCGGGAACCTGATCAAAGGGGAACACCTTTTCGATTGGCACGTGGATTCGACCTTGAACCACCCAATCAGCAAGCATTTCCAGACGCTTCCCGTTCGGCTCGAATAACGCCCAGCGTAGGGGGCTTGAGGTGCGCTGGTGAAAAAGCGAGTGGAACTTTGAGTGGAAGAGGGGGGCAAGTGACGCGCCGACTCCAAGCATGAGACCCCAATGATCAACAAATGTGAACAGCGGAGGGTTAACTGACACGTAACGCGAGCCCGGATTCGAGGACAAATTCTGCATGAGAGGGAAGTGCTTGTCAATTTCGACGTCTTCCCGCTTCGGCCAGGAGTGTTCAATATTGTCCTTCAAAATCTCAGGCCTAACACAATCAATGATGACGTCAAACGTATCTGACACTGACGGTAGTTCAGGAACCAAAATCACCTAAGGATAACACACTGTATTAGTACTTCGGCCCAGTAAATCGGAATTGCAGACATACATACGGCAAAAGCGTGAATTAAACTTACATCATCAACACCGAGCTTCGTCTTCATGTCTTCCTTGTTCACCCTCGCCAAGCAGGTGACCGCTACATACGAGGCCCCCGCAATCCTGGCTAACTGGGCGGCTATCGCGCCTACCGCACCCGTTGCAGCCGTCACCAACACCCTCTTGGAGCCATCACTAGTGCCTTCTGCTGGGTCCAGGCCAGCGTGCTTTAAGGCTGACCACGCGGTGAGGCCGGCGTAGCTCACCGCCGCAGCGTCCACAGGATCCAACTTGTCTGGCCTCCGCGCAACCACAGCCGATGAACAGCGAATGTACTCAGCAAGACATCCACTACCCTGGCTGCTCATGTGGGCCATAAAAGCACCCATAACAGGGGTTCCCGGCGGAAAATTTGTCGTCGCTTCTGGGCCCGATTCTACCACAACACCGGCGAAATCGCGACCGGGTGTGAAGGGGAAGTCGTCAGATTTAAGCTTCATGGATAAACACCGACGAAGCTTGAGCACCTTCGAGCCATAGCCAGTTAAAGTGTAGCCATCAATCGGATTGACAGATGCCGCTTCAGTGCGCACCACCAGATCGCGTGGTGCCTTGATCAGTGGTCGGCGAGTGGTAGTAAGCTTAAGTTCCTTCTCCAAAACCAAATCAAGCGTTGGCTCGTATTTGTGAATTTCCCAGGCTCGCATTTCCTTGGGGATGGAGGACATTTGTTTGTCGCCGAATCTACATAACAGGAAATAAACTTTTCTGGAAGAGGAGTTAATCATTACAATGGGAGCCACAACAATGGTTGGTTGGAAAGGGTAAGCTACTTCTGAGCAAAAAAGGTTGAGCGTCGACAATGCATACAGATTCGAGGCATAAAGTCGGCACAGAGGTATCAAATGCGTTCCAGAATTTCAACTGCGTGGAGTGAACCATTGTCCGAATGCTACAAAGCGGAAATGCTCACTTGGTATGCCCAACTGCTTACTCGGGCACATATTTATATTAGGCAGTCCGCAAAAAGCATGACAACTCGAACCACGTTTATAACGTGGCACATTACTTCAAATACTTCTTTTATTAGAAAATAACTAAATACCCAAAGCATCAGCGGTTTAAAATTTATGTTTAGGACATGTCATGACCGAATTAAACGGTCTCATGCTACCAGCAACACGGAGGGGCTTGCCTTTATGTTAGTTACAGCAGCTTGTACACACCACATTTTCAAAATATAAAAATGATCGAAAGATTCAACATTATCGCTTTGTCTGCTCCCTGTTATGAGCCACGTCTGGGCGAAATTTATGGCTTTATAATGGAAATGGGTTAGTCAATATGGAACCGTAAGCAGAGATAGAGTTATAGTTACGAAAATACACCGAGCCGAGATATAGAGTAGACCGGTGATTAAATCATTATGGATATAAACATGTACTTAGGACATCAGTTAACTTTACACAAGGTCCAAAATTCAAAAAAAGAGCTATCAATTAGAAGTTGTGACATTAAATTTAAAAAAGAAAACAGCAGCGGATGTAAGGGGAAATCTGAACGCACCACTTCTAAAAAACATTTCGCTGTTGTGTGGCGACGTCTTTAAGGCGCAGACCTATTGGACACTAGCCTCAGCCAATCCCGTGTCTCTTTGCGTTCTAATGGCATGCGAGGAAGATAAGCAGCCAACCAGAGAAATACACGACTGAGGTGCAGCATAAAATGAGCAGCATAGCCAGCATCGTGGACTCGGATGGAAGGCGCCTGACGTGTGGCTCTGGCTTATGATCGTTCAGTAAAGCCTGTTCTGTTGTACCAATCTTTTCCCTATTAGGGCTCGGGTATTCTACAGTTGCGACGTATTGAAGCGCAGACATATTGAACCGAGCTGGCCTCAGCCAATCCTCTGTCTGCGTTCCAATGGTGTGCGGAGAAGATAGGCAGCCAACGAAGGACACGTTTGAGAGGTGGAGTATAATGAGCGGCGTAGCCAGCGCGGAGGACTGGGATTGACCGTACCTGACTTTTTGTTCTGGCTTGTAAATGGTCAATAAAGCCTGTTCTGTTGCATTTTTCTTCTTCATACTAAGGCTAGGGTATTCTGCACGATGGAAGCACTGCCCATCATGGCGCAGCCGTCTTGAATGTCCCCTGAACGAAATCAATCTTTTCCCAAAATGTGCTTGAATAATCTACGAAGATCAGAAGCTCACCATGGATATGGAATGATGAGAATGAGGGCTAGAGAAACATGAGGCTATTTGACTGCTCTCAGTTGTGTAATATCGATGAGATAAGGTTTTTGTTCTGTTTTCTTCTTCTTAGGGCCAGAAAAATTTGCGCTAATGGTAGCGCATATGATTAAAATCTCACAAACTAAATCCCAGCCACTTTCTTTTTGTAAAACGGAAAACAGAATCAGAGACCTAAAGTCTAGATTTTCTCCTTTATTTTTGTTCGAACCCATAAATTCTCACTTTTGGCCATCAGGACAGTCCATGAGATGTTTCAGGCACATTGATCCTCCGTCATTTCATGTGATTTGGACCACAGCATCAGAGACGAATCGGTAAAGCTGAGAATTCGCAAGCGTTAGTGAGGGTTTGCAGGGCTTGAAGTAAAATGGTGAGTGTTCTAGATAATGCGCCCTTGCGGCAGGTCAACACGAGCAAACTTTCGTCGCATTCTTGGTGCTTGAGACGCTCCCATGTCAGGAATGTGTATGGGAAATGTTAAATTGGATTTTATATTCCGCACAACCACAACTTACGACGCTATCAACTAGCAAGAAGGCAATATGGTACGAGAGCCTGGTACTGACATTTGGACATCGTCGAGTGCACAGAGGAGACAATGTCTGCGGCTTAAGTGGCGCACGAATATGTCTAGCAGCCACATAGTGACAAGTATGGATAAGAAGAACATATTTAGATATAAATGAATGGTTTGAAATTTGAATCATTTAAAAAAGGACATACAGATCGCTTTTAATGCATGCAATTGACTCAAAGGCATTTAAAACTAGTTAAATGACACACATAGTTCTTTTTACAACCTTTGTAATAAATTACAGCTCTGACTACTCTTGGTTGCTGCTATTTAGGATGTTTGCATCCTTAAACTACCACACATTTATTTGTTTACTGCTGTCACTGTTTTGTGATTTTTTGTGTACTAGCTAATTTGTCCTAATGTTGATCAGAGCATTGTGGGCATCAATTCTCAAATGTTTCCATCATCATTGGTCGTTGTTCCAAATGCATTGACCGGTACTTTTGAAATGATTTATAACTTATTGGATGTCATCAAACACTGCTTCATGGGCTAAATCATCAAATCAGATATTTCCATCACCCGCACACCTTTCTTATCCGCTTTAAAATCTTGACCGATAAAGCCTTGTTGTTAGGACATGTGTAAGCCATTTTTCGGAAGCAGCAGATGAATAAATTTTGGATTTGAAAAAACTTCTAATTAAATGTTGTGGTAAGAAGATGCAAAAGGTCATGATGCGGTGCTCTTCAATATTTCTTAACAAAACTACTCGATGATAAGATGTCACGATATCAATATGATTGACATTCCAACAGCGTTGACACTGCCTTAGCCCTTGAACAAACGGAAAATTTTCTTCTTGTCATAAGAATGGAAACTTATTTCACTCTCCGTCGAATGAAATTTTCCACAGACGAGATAATAAGAGAAAACTGGACTTTTCGTTGACTCCATACTTGATTTTAAACTGATTTAATCTTCATCGAATGCCTGTAATTCATATCGTTTTTGAATGCAGATGTAAGTCAAATAATAGTCGATGATTGATTGGAATGCTTTTGGCTCAATTTAAGCAAGGCTACTGATGAGTTTCAAGGTGAGGTGGAAGTTATTTCTCTGGCAAGTTGCGAAATGCCAAAAGTCCGCCAAATTCTAGGTCACAACGGTAGTGGACGATCAACTAATGCGTTGTCTGCGCCCGGGTGTTCAAACAAGAGTCATTTTTTCGATATGGGCAGCCAAAATGTAAATAAGTACCTTAAAAACTGATATTTGGCACGACAAATTCATAAAGGTCTCCAGAAAATAAAAAGTGGGATAAATTCAGTGATGGCACGGAAAGGGTTTGTTACGAATCTGATGCCTTTTAAGGCCAAATTCTTAAAAAGCCTATCCTCAAGTGCAACAATTTGGCTTTGTCACTAATCTAGAAATCAGGGTTATAATAATGAGCAAAGCAACAAACCTACTGACTCTGATTAGCTGTAGTAAGTATTGTCAAGCTCTGAGCGCCTTTAAGCGAACCCCCTGATCTAAGTGCATCTCCACATTTTGCGGAATACACTCTCACCCATTGGCTGAGCGACTTGTGTATGCCGTAGATGACCTTGACTCGAAGGACCAGGAGGGTGATAGAGTGACCAGACAGAGCAACGTGATAAAATAATCTGTGCAAACATTTAGGCGGCAAGCAGTTTTGAAATGTTGGCTGCCCAAGCAATAACCTGACTGATTGCTGCTGTCGCTTTAAGCTGAAAGCAGCATTGCAAGAACAGAATGTGCTAAAATGTCTTCATCGCCACTACGTGTAGACACCCCATTATAGGAAAATGGTGGTTTTCTATAAAAGTACAAAAATTCCAACTTTTTGGGCTGTCGTGTCTACAACCTCTTCTGCTTCAAACTTGGTTTAGAAGGAATTTTTCGAGTCTGCGGTCAGGCACGCATAAATCGTGAAAAATTTCCGGAATCTGTCAATAGTTCACCGAAGACAGAACAAATATTTTTCCAGACATTGTCCTTAACTACCAAAAAGTGAAGTTTTTCTTAAGGCCATGAATCATTACGACACACAAAA